GGTTCCCGCCTTCTCTTTCCCCATTGCAGGGCCAGGGTCCGCGCTCAGGCCCCGGAGGCCGAACCCGGAGCCAGCCAGGCCCCGCCACGTGCCTCGCATGGGTTTCAAAACCCTGGGCCGTGACGTCACGTCCTCCCCGCCCACGTGCAACGCCACGCATGGGCGGCAGGCGGCGAGGAGGAGCCGCACGCGGCAGAGACATCCGGGGCCGAGGGGACGCTCTGGGGGCTGGGCCGCAGAGGACGCGCGTGAGCGGGGCCCGCTCCAGGCAGAGCCGGGGAGAGACCCAGCTCCACATAGCGCTGGAGCAGGGCCCGGCTCTTAACTCGCTGGCACTTCCGGGTGCAGGGCGCGGGGCCCGAGTCGACCAGATGGGTCAATCGGCCTAAGGGCCGGCAGCCACCAGGCACGCTGAGGCCCGGCATTTTTTTTCCGCGGCCCGGTATCGGGCCGCGGACCATAGTTTGGGAAACGCTGCTGTAGGAGAACACTTCAATCTCCCTGGACACACAGTAGCAAATGTAAAAGTAGCCATCCTGCAACAAAAAAAGTCAAGAACAGACTTCAAAGAGAAACTGCAGAGCTACAATTCATCTGCAAATTTGATACTATCATTTTAGGATTAAACAAAGACTGTGAATGGCGAGCTAACTACAAAAGCAGTTTCTCCTCTCTTGGTGTTCATACCTCCATATCAGCTGCTAGAAGTGGGCTTCATCCTCCCTGACTGAATTGACCTCGTTATCTCTAGCCTTACTCTTGATTGGAACTCTTTTCTTATGCCTGTATATTTATACCTGCCTCTGAAATTTCCACTACATGCATCTGTCAAAGTGGGTCTTTGCCCACCAAAGCTTATGCTCCAAAAAATCTGTTAGTCTATAAGGTGCCACAGTACACTTCTTGTTGTTCTTGCAGATTCAGTCTAACACGGCTACTCTGCTGATTAATATTGATATGATACATCTATTTATTAATTTAAGTGAAATGTCTGCACTGTTAATATCACAATATAAGATGAATAGCAAGAGCACTAAAATTTTAGGATTCAGACCATGGCACTGAAAAATGTTTTGGAGTGGGGAAGGGGAAGTGATGAGCTTCTCCCCCCCAACCTCTGCCTGTCCCCCCTCACCATCCATTAAATCTGGGGCCAACATCTGGGCCCAGTGGCTGAGCAGGTCCCAGAGCAGCAAGTGCATGGAGCTGGGATGCCCAAAATCGGGAGGTGCTGCAGCTCCCCTCACACCTTTACTTCCCATGTCTTTGGATGCAAGTATTCCTAAATGTACATTCCCCTGCCATAAAGAATGTTTTCTCCACATACATACTTATCTCCCCTAGAAACTGGTTTGTTAATTCTGAGACCAACATTTTCTATGAAATACTCCTGAGGGAATTTTGAGTCATAATTTTTTAAAAAAATGTTTCAAAAAACAGAACTTCTGTGCACAATATTTTCTGCAAAACTCCACCTATTTTAGTGGTCAATAAATAAATGTGGTTCCAGCATGGTAATGGGGAGCACAGGCCACAGGCTGCATTGAGGTGGGAGATCACAGAATTTAACTCATAAAATGTTTAAAAGAGCATATTGTGTAAAAGCAACTCAGATGTCTAGGTCCTAAGCTTATATCAACCAACTGCTTGTTGGTAATACTGCATAGCTGCTTACCTACAAAATTCTCCAAAGAAATTTAAAAAAGGTGATGCAATGTTTCAAGATTAAGATAACTAGGGTATACTGATATAACCAGTACAGATGAGTTTCCCTGTTAAGACCAGTCACAGGTTGCTTATTTTATAGTGAAGTTTATAGTGATGCATATTAAATGGTAAAGGGGGAAGTGTAATGTGCGCATTATTGTAAAAATAGTTACAAAGGTGTGTACATCATTAATGACTTCCATATAAAACATCCTGGGAAAGGCTATATGTTTTAACTTTCCTATAATTTGGAAATGTCAAATGAACTCATAACAGACATAGTGCCACACCTATTTTACTGTTTTAGAAAGTAGCAATAGTATAGTACTTTTTCAGGAGGTGAGAAGGGTACAAATTTACCTCCATTTTATTTATGGAAAGGGAATGAAAAAATAGCCAACAGATTTAATAACTTGCCTAAGACTATATGAGTCAGGAGCAAAGCCAATGTCTTGCTTTTAACCCAGTGCTCAAACTTAGGGACAAATAATGTGGTCTCAATTAATGGGTTTTCATATGTAGGTTTTAGCTGCCCTCCCTATCTCTGAATAATTTAAATAAAAGAGTCAACACACAGTATTTGAAACTGCTTCCACACCTTACCATCCTTGATAATGTGTAACATTCAGAGATGGAATGCATCTAAGGACTTAACAGAAGATTCCATACATTTTTAGCAAGTTTGGTCTTTTGCATTGTGAGAAGGCAATGATTTTCTTAGCTCCTTTGTAAAGGATCACAATCAACTTGATTTTTTTAAAATGGGTTTAGAACTGTTTTCTGATAGGTACACCCTTATATACCTAGATTATATTTAAATAAAAGAATCACAAATTTTGTAAGGTTTTTTTGCTCCCCTAACTGATGTATTTTGGGTAGGCTTGAAATCAACACTGAATGTTCTCAGGACTCCTGTTTTTTCCTTTGTGCTCCTGGTAGCCTACTGCCTCTTCGTTCTCAGCTTTGGCGCAGCTATTACTAGCAAATGCCCACTCATAAGGCCTGGAAAAAACACTTAAGGGTTACTTTTAACAATTGTGGATTTGATTTTTTTTTTTTTGCGACAGAAAGAGTACATCTTTCAATTTCCCTTTAAAGTGAGCTGTGTATTGTTTACATTCTCATCCATGGGATACAGTACAGGTTGAACCTCTCTCTGCTCTGGCAGGACCACAGATGTTGCTAGATCAGAAAGCTTCGGCTGAAGAGGTTGAGAGTGACAGCCGGATGGTCAGTCGCAGCCTGCAGGACCAATGACCTGGGGGTAGAGATCCCCAGGAAAGACTGCCACTCTGTAGGAGACGTGGCGGAGCACCCCCAAGAGTGACTGCTGCCTTGCATGGGGCCAGGTGGCTGGGGGCAAGGAACCCTGAGAGCAGCTGCTGCTCTGCACAGAGATAGAGAACCCTGAGAGCAGCTGCCACTCTGCCTGGGCATGGAGAACCCCGGGAGCAGCTGCCGCTCCCCCCGGGACAGGGCCACAGGGCAGGGGAATCCCAGGAGCAGCTGCCACCTCACACGGGGAACCCTGGAAGCAGCTGCCACCTCGCATGTGGTATGGGGAACCGCAAACAGGCTGGGGGCAGCAGACAGACAGGTGAGCCAGAGGAGGTCAGGACTCTGGGTTCTCCCAGGGCAGCAGCCAAAAGGGAGCCCTGGGAGAGCCCAGACGCCTGACCTCTACTGGTCCGGCAAATTCCCCTTGTTCGGGACCATTCAGGTCCCAAGGGTGTTGGACCAGGGAAGCCCAGACGCCTGACCTCTACTGGTCTGGCAAATTCCCCTTGTTCGGGACCATTCAGGTCCCAAGGGTGTTGGACCAGGGAGTTTCAACCTGTATTACAATAGTGAATATATATTTAGATTATAAAAGAAACTTACATCTTTCAATTGTTTTTCAACTTCATTAAAATTACTTGGTGATGTAGCACAGTTCATTTCAGCTCTCTGCAAACAAAGAAAATGTGTCAAATCTATTTTTCTCTAGAAAAGTGCATTCTCAAGTAATCTTATACAAGTTGTATCCCTTAACCAGTACTCCCTGGCCTGGCAATATCCATGCTGGATTACGGATGTTCCTGGACCACAGAGCCCAGGAAGAGGGAGATTCGTGGTGGGGCAGGAGCGCCATAAGGGACGCGACGACTCAGCCGGAAGCCCGGTGTGTGAGAGGGAACGGAGGAGAGGACGGATGGCATGGGAGGGAGTTCTGGCTCCAGCAGAGCTCTTTGGCCCCAGTGGCTGGGAAGCTCAACCTGGCTGCAGCAGTGGACCTTCGGCCATGGCCAGGGAGTTCTGGCCCCAACCCCAGCAGCAGAGCTCTGGCCACGTTCTGGCTCCAGCGGCCGGGGAACTCCAGCCCCAGTTGCAGCCAGGAAGCTCTGGCCCAGGCTGCAGCACTCCAGCCCCATCCGTCCACTGCACAACTCTGGCCGTGACTCTCCGGTCGCAGCAGCAGCAGGACCAGGAAGAGCCACAGGGGGCTAAGGCAGAAGTGGGGGCAGGCTGGAGCCTAGCTCGGTGGCAGCATGGCCACAAGGGGAGGGATGTTCCCTGGTTTGGCAAATCCCCTCATTTGGGACCAGTCAGGTCCTGAGGGTGCCGGACCAGTGAAGTCAAACCTGTAGTCTTATAAGACAAAGGCACTTACAGTCACAAATAAAAACCAACATAGAAACACTCTTATAACCACATCTCCTTGTATTTGGATGCAAGTGAACCTAATTTCTGTAATAGAACCCTGATTTCAAAAAATTTAAGATCAGAATAGACCATTGTCTAACCCGACCTCCTTCAAACACAGACCATGCAAATTTGCTTCAATTCCCATAACTTCCGGTTGAACTACCACATATATTAGAAACACATTCACCCTGTGTTTCTGTGACACTGCTGTATTGTGCTGCAGCTTCTGGTAAGCTAAGAAAATTGAAGGCTTAAGTTTAATATGGAGTCAGTAAAATGTTTCTTGTTTTATAAGTGATATTTGCTCTACTGTAGAATTGTCACTACCCTGCAGATTTTTTTTATTAATAATTCAGAACTGCTGGGGGAAGGTGGAGGTTTCAACAGCTGGGGGTGAGGTGTGTGTGGGGGCTTTTTGTATATTGGAGGGGAAAGGAGCCAGTACGGGACTGGGGGAATAAGGAGGTAAGAAAGACAAGAGAGAATGGACATAATTAGCTGAGTGTTTCTGTAAAAATGATCATTTGTAAAATATTATGGACATTTAAATGGTCTGAGAGTTTCAGGCTAAGAACCAACTATGATAACCAGCAACAGTGTCAGAGTTTATTGGCATACATACATTGGTTTACACTGTTCATGTTTTGAAGAACTTTTCAATTACATGTGCTAGAAGCTTTTTTTTTTTTTTTTTTTTTTAAAGATGAGGGTTAGATTTATCAAAGGCAAAATCTGAGAGGCCCATTTGTGTCTTTGAAACATCTATCTCTAGATTCTGCAGCAAGGAATAGATTTTGGGCCAAATTCTGCAGACATGGAATGAGATCTTGAGTGCAAATATTAAAACTCTTATAAGCAATTCTATATAGATGAACCATAGCATTAAATCCTGAATACTTGTTACAGGTATATTTTGATTAAAAACTTCTTGTTTCCATAAATATTAGAACTGAGTATCTGATATCTGGACTCAAGTTTATTTTCTCATTTTTTCTCTACTGTTATACATGCTACTCTTACACCACCTAGCAGATGTGAGAAGAATTACAATACATATTTTCAAACTTGAAGACTTCCAATCAAAAAGTTTAAGTTTGCCTTTAACTTCATTTATTATGAGAGTTTGAAAGGCGAAGGTTTCTATTAGTACACTTATTTTGGTAATCAGCTTGTTCCACAGATAAGACAATACTGTTTTGGCAACAATTGATTTTGTGGTAAACCATTTCATTCAGAACAGCCAGCCAAGAACATGTGGGGAATTAGTGACCAAAAAAAAAAATCATCTAATGGAAGAGGTTTTATTCCACTCTGATCCGTCCCCTAGTACTTTATGTTTAAGATTAAGTAAGTAGGAATCCTTCCTATAACTGACTGCTAAATCAATCGTTCAGCTGTAACTATGCAGGAAAACCAGTACAGATTAGCAACAGAATAAATCTTGGGTCTATTACACAGTTTTAAGGATGCTAAAAACTGGCTATTCTATACTACAAAGATTCTTTGCCCTAGCTCTCCAACTGATGCTTATTTTGGATTTGCCATCCTCAACAGGTCAGGTGTGTTGTTAAATAGGATAGCTCCTTACAGGAACAAAGTCTACTGCTAGTTTTTTCCACTGGAGATGCAGGCACTCTCAATGCAGCACAAATTCTTTAAACAAGACCAATTCAAAAAATAGTATCTTCCCTGCACATAGCCAGAAAATTTCACCTTCATTCTATCCTTCCCATTTTGTTGAAGAAATGTTAACTAGAATTTAACACTGAAACCAGAGTTTGTTGGATCCACTCTCACATTTTTCTGAAGAAAGGAAGCAGGCTCCTGCAACTAACCAAAACATTCAGGCTGTGTAATTATCCCTAAGAGTATCAAGTTGCAGCAGCTCAGCGTGGAGGGTACCAAAATCTGTGACTCTAGCCAAGTCTGACTAGATCTGTGACTCTAGCTTATATACAAGCTACTGGACTGTAAGATGCATTTCTGGAAGCAGTGGCCCAGTGTAAAGTGAGGAATCCATAAGTATTCAGAAATTATTAGTTGTGGTAGGTAAGGGCAGATTTCCTCAATAGACTGTCACATTAAGATACGGGTTAGTATTCAAAATACTATTTTGCTTCCCATCAGTCTTGTTCTGATTCAGATTAAGCTAGCTACTTTTCATCCAGAAGCTCATCTCACAGTTAGGCCTAGTGGTAGCTGGTATTTCTACTTTGGAAATAACTAAGAACTGGGCACTGACTTTCTGGCACCTAAGAACACTATGGATATGTCTGAACTGCAACGTAAGCTCAGGGTTAGTAGAACAGTGCCATCAGACCCTGGGTTAGAGAATCCAAGGTTTAAGCATCTATACTGATTAATCTGACATTAAGAATTTTCTCACTTGGGCTCAAACCTGGGGCTCTGGTGTAGGAATGTTAATGGTTAACCAGTAAGCATCACCCTTCCTGGTTTACCAATGGCCTGGCTGGGCTGGAGCAGCCCTACTTCTGCTGCTGGTGGGTTGGGGCTGTTCCAGTCAGGCTGGAGTGCCCATAGTGTAGCGGGGTGGGCCCAGCTTTGCTCAAGTATCTGCCCTGTCATTTTGGTTTGTGCACTCCCAGCTATCAGAAGCAGCAACATGGAGAAGGACCTTTTGAAGAACTCTTCTTTCTTAATATCAGGAAACAGGCAGTTTCTGAGACACACTGATGGACATCTTGGTGGCATTTTCTGACCCACAATAGGTACCTGACAAAGCTTATTATGGAGGACAACAACAACACAGACATGAACTGGCTGATACTTCTTATGACCATCATCAGTACAGCTGCTGACACCCCTCATATAGGCTGGTGCTTTTGGAATAGAGCCACAAGCAGTGAGTCTAGAACTTTCACACGAAGAAAGATACATTTTTGGAATTTTTTGAATAGCTGGTCCTGAACCTCCAGCATAAAGACAAGAATGTCGCCTGTAATTAGTTCAGAAGTGAGTTGCTATAACAGTCTGGAAGCTGGCTACCCCAGACTGCTACAAAGTGGTAAAGATATTATAGGGGTTTCTAATATATAATCCACAAAGGTTCAATGGCAGGAGGAAGAACAGTACCGTTATGAATGTGTTCAGGTGGGGATGAGTCTAATTGTGTGTGTCGGAGGGAGAAGGGGGCGGGGAGAAGGTGATTGCTATGCAATATATCTATGTATGACATCATTTGTCAAGTGAAGGTGGGATGATCAAAGTATGGATTGATGTATTGTAGACAACTGTATTAAGGAAAGTTTTTGCATACACATTCCTAAAGATCTTTGATTACATGTTTACTTGTACTATTTAAAATACATTCTGTATGAAGTGATAATACAAACTTGCTTGATAAAATACAAATTATAAATACATATTGGAAAATTACAATGTTAATCCAATGCCCATCAGGCCAGCTGCCTTTGCCACACCAAGACCAACTTGGTGCTGCAGGACCAACCGGCAGGACCCCAGCTGCTCTGCCCGCTGCTTGCCAAAGTCCGCGGCTTGTCAGTTTCAGTAGTAACAAACTTAAAAGGTGCACGAATATGTTCAAGAGTGAAATTATGTACAAGACAGTAACTCTAACCATGGCATGTCCCCCGATCCTCCAGGGCACTGTCCTTTCCTTTCTACCCCCATTTGCTGCACACAGTGTCCGGAGGAGGAGAAGTATCTAGGGGAGAGAGTCTATCTTGAGAGCTGCATGGAGCAAAGTTGCTCTGTCCAGCTTCTCACAAGGCCCAGCTGCATGGGCCACCCAGTCACGGGAGTTTCTCAAGTTGTTTCTTGAGTGGATTACACATGGTACTCAGG